CTGCAATTTCATTAAATCATAACATTTCAAAAGGTTGAATTAAAAATATTCATTCTGAATTTCATTCAGAAAGGTATGTTTATAGAAATATAGAAAGGACTTTGTTGTAAGTTAGTTACAAATCATCAAAACTAAAGAAAACACTATCTCTAAATTATACTAGTGAAAAAAGGGTAGTAAAAAATAGCTAAGAAAAAGAAAAGCATTGAGAGAACAACTCATAGTGAATTTAAAGGGTGACAAACATCTTTAAAATAGTGTACATGAGTCACTATGATCTCCTATGTGAATTGCTTATAATACTTTCCTGATCTCTGTTTAAGCAGTTACGTTTCCTCTATTTACTGACAATACATCATTAGTACAGACCTGTATCTTCCTATTTAAACCATAAAACTGAATACATATATATAATTTATCTGACGGAGTTAAGAAATAGCCATTTAATTGAATTCCCAAGCTAATATCAAACTGTTTTCCTAAAAGTCAAGACAGGCATTTAAAAAAAAAAAAACTTCAACAGGTAGACAACTGTTAAAAGATTTAAACTCAAAATCTCTTGTACTAATGGGGAAATTAAAATTTGTAAAAATGTAAAGAAAGTAGATTTGAAAACCAGTAAAGAAGTTTGCAGAAGAGAACTGGACAAGAGATCAGCTTCTCTGCTAGTGGATATGGGAGGCATAAATATAATCTCTACACTCAAGAACATTACAGCATGTAAAGGAAGATTGTTTTAAAAAAGATATTTGAAAAATAAAACCAGTGAAAAGTGCCATAAGAATAATAAAAAAAAATTATTTAAATTTAGGGATGTACAAAGAAATATTGGAACTTAGAGCAGGGAAAGATCAAGGAATTTGGCTTCATACGACCTCTCATTTGTATCTTTAAGGGTGATATACCATTAGCAATGGGAGAAAAGACGACAGAGTTTGGTTTAGCTAAATTCCAAGTTCCACAATAGAGAAATGAGAATAAGCCTGGAATTATAGCTAAGGGACAGCATTTGGGAGGGCAGTGAATAAGAGGCTAAGACTTGGGATTTTATTCTTGAGGGATGCTCACTAATTTTTAAGAGTATAAAGGTATGGGGACAGCTAGGTGGCACAGTGGATAGAGCACTGGCCCTGGATTTAGGAACACCCGAGTTCAAATCTGGCCTCAGACACGTAACACTTACTAACTGTGTGACCCTAGGCAAGTCACTTAACCTCACTGCCTAGCCAAAAAACAAAGCAAACGAAAAAAAATTTACAACTGTACAACTATTTTCTTTGTCACTCTCGAACCACACTTCAAATATCTGACCTCACTTAAATCAAGCACTTTTTCTCCTTCCCATTTATCTTCTGAAGTTTCTTTTCCAGAATGATATCCAAACAACTGACGGCAGAATCCTGTATCTTTGGCTCTACCTATAACACTGATTATAATACATAACTACAGTTATAACAGCACGAACCAAGGTGCCTTTGCTAATAATTTACTGTGATCAGTAAGCTTTAAATTGTAAAAGGCATTCCATGTCACAAATATGCACATAAATTTGTTTCAAAATGTTCAAGGTTAGAATTTAGGCCAAAAACAAAAATTAGAAAAGGTCCAATGGCCTAAAGACCCATTAGATTAACCAGCATTTAAGTGCCTACTAGGTGCCGGGTACAGTGTTAAATGCTTTTGTTGTTGTTTTGTCCTTTCAGTCCTGTCCAACTCTTCTTGATCCTATTTGAGGTTTTCTTGGCAAAGATACTGGAGGGGTCTGCTCATTTTACAGATGAGGAAACTGTGGCAGAGTTAAATGACTTGCCCAGGATCACACTGCTAGTGGCCAAGGCTGAATTTGAACTCAGATCTTCCTGACTCCAGTGCTCTATCCCTTGTATCACCTACCTGCCCAATGAAGTGCTAGGGATACCAAAAAGGCAAAAGATAGACCCTGCTCTCAAAGAACTTACAATCTAAGGGGTAGAAAAGCACAATTAGCTATGTAAAAACAGGTGATATTTTAACATAAATTTATAATGTTATCTATCTGGTCTCATTAAATCAAGCACTTTTTCTCATTCCCATTTATCTTTTAAAGTTTCTTTTCCATGATATCCAAACAACTGATTTATTACATTAAATGTCTAACTATATGTATGGCTTCCACTAAAGTTCTATCACAATGTATCACTGTACAGTAATGATCCCTCTAGTAATGACAAACTGGAAAGGTTTTGAATAAGGATCCAGAGATAGGCAGTATCTCTCTTATGTGAGGACTAATATAGCCAAGTTGAGAAAGAATCTTCACCTAAGAATTAACCAGTAATATTTCTTTACCATAATAACTAGCAATAAAAGTATTGCCAACTATGTCATAAGGAGCACCACACAGAAGAAATCATGGATTCTTTAAGTAACTTAATACTAAACCTTTGCGTTGTGCATTAAATGTCACTAATTACAAAGTTTTTTTCTGAAGCCCAAAAGTGAGTCTATATCAAATAACTAGTGATCACATCCTGAAGTTCTACTCATTCCAAAAGGGAATAGTCAAAAGGATACAAAAAAGGTACCAAAACAGAAAAATAATGAGTTATCTTAAAAGGGAACAAACATGTCACACAATGACAATGACCTGGCAGTCTTCAATGTCTGAAAAAATAACTC